AATAAAACCCCATTATAACATGCCAATTAAAAGAAAAATGAATATTTATTGATCACCTACTATATATCAGTCACTGCTATGCACTTTCACATACATTATTTCATGTAATCTTTAAAGCACTTTATTATTTAACCTATGTTTTATTAAAGAAAGAAGAGTCTCAGAGAGATTTAGTTTGGTTAAAATCAACAGCGGATAAGAAACAGAGTCTAAGTCTTTCTGATTTCAGACACTGTACTTTTTTTTGTTTTTTTGAGACAAGGTCTCACCATGTAGCCCAGGCTGGCGTTGAACTTGTGATGATCCTCCTGCGTCAGCCTCCCAAGTGCTGGGAAGACACTACTTTTTACTACACTCTCATTACTACATAAATCAAGACGTGCTCCTTATTAAATATCAAATAATATTCTCAGCAGCAAAATAGCTATGTTTAAGAGAAAATACTCAACATGAACTCTCAACCTCGCATTGTGATTCCACTGTATTTACACTGTACTGCACTGGCAAACACAGATAACTGAAAACAGCTTAAATGAAAGATACAGTCTAAGTAACATAGAAATTAGAAAGTCGTGTACCTGTTTTTCTGGCCCTAGTGCAGGTGAATCTGTTTCTAAGCAGATAGATGTCAAAGGCAACTGTTTCACAAGTTTCTGCTTCTTAAAGAAAAGAGAAAGCTAGTTAGGTTTAAAAGCCGAGAACATGAGAACCTACACGCGAATGCATTTTATTCTGCAAGAATCTAAAATTCATGTTTCATATTCAATTGATTAATGCTATCCAGGTGCCTAACAGTTATGTTAAAATATAAATACTCATTGCCAAAAATTATCCAAAGCTTCCAGGGAGTCAAAAAAATAACCATAGCAAAAATGAAGTACACCCAACAAGAAAGCCAAACACCTGACACCAAATGCCCACTGGAGGATCCAAAGAAGAGCTCTGTCATTTCCCTACCATTGGTTCACTCAGTTTCTTTCTACCATTCGCTTTAAGTCACTCAACGGTTTATGTATATAAATCCAAAGTTGTTTTGGACATCTCAGTTTTAGATCGGGTAGTGGATGCTTTTATTTCTTGTTCTATAATTCTTGAAGTATGGAGTTTAAGGACTGCAGTGAGCTCAATCAGTTTTATGCTAAGAACGCAACTGTTTTGCTGACACTGCACTTGAAAAAATGGGAAGGGGACATGATGCTCAGTGGGACATTGTTAAAATTTCTTAAGATTATATTTCAAAAGCACACAAATGAGTACTCTCATGTGCTGTTGATAACGGTGGAGCTGCTACAAATTTCCCTGAAGGAAATATGACCATTTAGATCAGAATTTTAGAAATATATTCTCAGTGCTGGGCGTGGTGGCACATGCCTGTAATCCCACACTCCAGGGGCTGAGGCAGGAGGATCTCCGCCAGTCCGAGTTCAAGGCCTGCCTGAACTACATAGTGAGACGGTCTCAAAAACAAACACACAGACACACACATATACACTCAGCTATTTCATTTATAGGAGACAACTGGTCAATTGTGCCTATGTGTTTGTGTGTGTTATAAACCTTGTTTATACCAGAAAAAAAGTGGAAAAACTCCAATCTTTTTTAAAGGTAATATTTAAATTATAGTACATCCACACTTTGATTGAGTAATCCCACTGCAGTTAATAACACGAGAGAAATGCAAATACATGTCCAAAGACTTCCATGGATATGTTTATGGCTGCTCTTTTCCTGATAGTCCCAAACCGGAAACAACCCAAATGTCCATCAGCTGGTGCATGGGTAAATGATGGTATACCCATGTGTCTATTACCCAGCAATCAAAATTAAAAGGACTACTTATTCATGCAACAGCACACATAGGTCCAAAACCATTAAGTGAAAGAAACCAGATCACAAAGCACACAAAAAAGCTTTCATTTATACAATGTCCAAAAATGCAACACTAGGGGAACAGGAATCAGAATGGTTGCCAGAGACAGGGAGGAAGGAGTGTATGGACTAGAAAGATGCATGGGCGGCTACAGGGATGACAGAAATACTCTGCATCTGGGATGTGGTGGTGTTCAGGCAGTACACATTTGTCAGAACTCACAGAACTACACACCTATAAGGGGTGAGTCACCATGGATATGGTCTTCAACATATCTGCTTTTAAAAATTACAATTTAAAAACAACAACAAAAAAGATAAATGGTTGCTAACAAAGATGTTTTTAAAATCTTGACTGTTTCAATTCTGCACTCTCAACCTACACTGGTTTTTCTATACTGACAGACCACTTACTGCACCTCATAGAACCCTAAGTCACCATTGATTGTAACATCCACCACAATTTCACAGATAAAACAGGAAAAAGTGATTGTCTTAAAATTGATGAAGTACAGTAAATTACCTCAGTTTTTCTGAGCTATAATTCACATGCCATATTTACTCATTAAAATGTACAATTCAGTGTTTTCACTACACTCACAAGGCTGCACAGACTTGGTCATCACCCCCAACAGAAACTCTCTACCCATCGGCAGTCATTCTCCCTTCTCCCCTCCAAGCCCTGGAAACCACTAATCTACTTTATCTCTGGATTTGCCTAGCCTGGGTATTTTGTATAAATGGAATCACACCACACCCGGTCTTTTCTGTCTGGCTGTCTTCTCCTACCACAGTGTTTTCAAGGTATATCCCATGTGGTAGCATGAGTGGGCAGTTCATCTCTTTTATGACAGAATAGTATTCCACTGTATGGGTATATCATCTTTTGTTTACCTATTCATCAGATGAAGGACATTGTTTTGGCTATTATGAATAATGCTGCTATAAATATTCATGTATGAGTTTTTAGGTGGACATGTTTTCCTTTCTTTTGGGTGTTCTCCTAAGTGTGGAAATGCTGAGTCCCATGATAATTCTGTATTTAATTTTTTGAGGAACTGCCAAATTGGGTGGATATGAAGTGGTGTCTGAACATGCCTGTTTATGTTTTTTTTTAGTACTGGGGATTGAACTCACGACCTTGCACTTGCAAGGAAGGCACAGCCACTGAACTAAATCTCCAGCCCTATTTGTTCTTTTGAGACATGGTCTTGCTATGTAGTTCAGGTCGGCCTCAAACTCACAATAGTCCTCCTGCCTCAGCCTCCTGAGTGCTGACACTACAGGCATGCGCTACCACTCCTGGCTTCAATATGCCTTTGATCTGTATTTCCATAACAGAAAATGAGGTTACATATCTTTTTATGTGTTTATTGCCTATTTGTATGTTTTCTTTTCTTTTCTTCTTTTGGTATTTTGAGACAGGACCTCGCTATGTAGCCCAGGCTGGCAATCCTCTTGCCTCAGCCTCCCAAGTGCAGGAATTATGGGCATGTGCCACCATGTCCAGCCTATTTTCTTAAGAGAAGTATCTACTTAAATCCTTTGCCCATTTTTAATCAAGTTATGTATTTGTTTTCTTATTGTTGAACTGTAATGGTGCCTTATAATATTCTGGATATTTGACCCTTATTGAGTACATGATTTCTAAATATTTTTTCTCTTTCTGTGGATTGTCTTTTTGCTTTGATAGTGTGTACTAAAGTATAAAAGTCTTTTTCTCTCTCTCTCTCTCTCTCTTTTTTTTGGTACTGGGGATCGAACTCGGGTCCTTGCACTTGTGCAGCAGGTGGTGAAACCACTGAGCTAAATCCCCGGCCCCTCAAAGTCTTTTTTTTTTTAATTGTGAAAGTTTTAAATTTAGATGATACCCAGCTTACCCATGGTTTTCTTTGGCTGCTTGGGCTTTGGTGTCATATTTAAGAAACTATTACCTAATCTCAGGTCAAAAAATGTAGACCTGTTTTCTTCTGAGAGTTTTTGAATTTTAGCATTTATATTTAGGTCCTTGATACCTTTTTAAGTTAGTATGTGTGGGATAGTGACCTAAGATTAATTGTTTAATGAAACTAGAGTAGTATCACAAGTACCCTGTCAAAGCTTATACTTTAAATTATATTTCTCAAACAGTTAGCTACATTTTAATGAAAGAACCTACCTGTCCACTCCTTATGATAGATGGTGGAATCGAGAAGAAGTACCCAGCTCTGACGCTCTCCATGGCTACAGACGGTCGACCATCAAATGCATGCAGCAGTACCCTGTCAGCATCTCCCAAAATTCAAGAGAAATCAGAGTCCATTTTATGTCCTTAACAACAGGCTTTCCCATTACTTAAACTGAACACAGATCTGACATTTTAAATAAATGTTGGACACTATGATAAAGATGAGATTCTATGATAAATATCATAGAGGTGGATAAAGATATAGTGTTCAAATAGTAGGATAAAAATAAATTCTTAATCTTCAGAATAAAATTATTAAATAAAATTCAAATACAAAATTTAAAACAATTGCTTAAACTTCTTATACCATTAGATCTTTTCTAGAAGTCTGTGAGCTGTCAAATGATTATTCCTAATAAGAGATTTTTAAGTAAATTGATTTTCCCCCAAAAAAAAATCCTAGTGGAAAATGAAATGGAAAATTAAATGACTCATAAATTAAGAACCCAGAGTTGGCTTCACAAAACCAACTCCAGTTCTGAAAGCATGATTGCTCACCCTGCATAAAAATTACACTTTCAGGGCTTTAAGAAGGGTTCAGTATTCATCACTGAGAAATACAGTGCTTTCTAGTTGCAGGTAATTAGTATTTTTTTTTAATTATTTTTTTTTTTTAATTTTTTTATTTTTTTTTTTTTTTAATTATTTTTTTTTTTTACAGTATCTTTTCAAATGGTAAGTGTGACAATTACTAGGTTATGATACTATGAGTCATGAAACCAACTTAGTAGGTCATAACCAACCAACGTGTGCTTTTATCTACACAAATACCTACACTTAAACATGCCTATACACATATACACAATTATACACTTGTAAAACTTCGGTCAGTTTTATTTCCATGTGTGTGTCTCAAAATGTATTTCTTACTGTGGGTGGCATTTTTAAAAGTGTGATAAATTATACTGCAGGATATATCTTTACTTTAGGAACAACTGGTGAAGATAACGGTGTGTTTTATATATGATGGCAACAATGTGTACAATGCCACTTTCTGAAGGAACAACCAGGAAACACGCAAAACAGCAGCCCAATGCGATTGCCTTTCTCTCCCTTGTTTTCCTTTTCTTTAATCAAGGTGATTAAGGAATCAGAGCTGTGAATTTTTAAGATAAGCAATATAAACTGTTTCATTTCAGTTGGTCTGGCCTCGCTTGATAACGATCACAACTGTGTTGAGGACTTCGTGAAAATAGCCAGATTTGCAAAATCACCTCAGTTATTTCCACTTCCACTCTTGCCCCATTCCTTTCCCTTTAAGAAATCAAATTAAAACATGGCTTGCACCATGAGAACATGAACTGGCATAGTCAAACTTAAACACTGGCACATTTCTTTCAGGAGCTAAATACCTTGCTCACGTAGGAGGCTGATGGTAGGTCTCCCAGCGGAGCGTGAGTGAACATTTCTGTTTAACAACAAAATTCCTTTTAATACTTTTAAAGCTTTAAGTCTTACTTCTATTCTATACAATAATTCAGAGAAAAAAATGATGTAGAGCTCCATTTCAGGAGGACTCGGATCATTATTTAACTTGGTCTATCGCTATTATAGTAAAAGAGTATTAATTCACCTACAAAGGCAAATTTAGTCTTTTGGCTAATTGGATCTGTCTGATTAGGACTTGTCTTTGCTCTTCCTTCTGTTCATCAGTGCCAGCAAATCTGGGAGAGAAATCTAGTCCAACCTACAGCAGAAAAACAAAACAGTCACATATTTAAAGTTTAGTGAGCCCCAAAAGAGATACTACGAATCAGTGCTGTAGCCACACAAAAAATATTAATAGAAATAAGTGAAATTAACTCTAATAATATACTTTAACCCAACGGATTAAAAACATTACTTTAACATATGATCAATGTAAAAAAGTGAGATATTTATGTATGTGTATTCACAACGCATATATTTTTCTTGTACTAAAACTCTTTTTTTTGGTTGGTTTTTTGAGACAGGGTTTCAGTATACAGTTCAGGTTGCCCTCGAACTCACTATGGAGCCCAGGCTGGCCTTGAACTGTGGCGATCCTCTTGCCTCAGGCTCCCGAGTGCTGGGATCACAGGCGTGCGCCACCATGCCCGGCCTGTACTACAACTTTGAAACTTGCCATGTGTTTTACACTTGCAGCACACCTCAGTTCCAAGCAGGCACGTTTGAAGTGTGCCACAGTCACATGTGGTCACCGTGCTGGACAGCCCAGATTAATGAGCGCCTCCTTTGATGCTATTTCGGCCTGTACTCTGTAACCTATATTCTGAATTTAAGTGTCATCCTTATCTTTTTTTTTTTTTTTGGTATCGGGGATTGAACTCGGTCCTTGCGCTTGCGAAGCAGGCGGCGGAACCACTGAGCTAAATCCCCGGCCCTCATCCTTATCTTTTATGTTTAATAAGAAATGAAATTTATTACTGAGTGATACATTACCATTACAAATTATTTAAATGAAAAAGTTCTTTGCTATAAATTCTAAAGTATGAAATTTAAAGTATGCTTTTAAATTACTTAGGAAGTATTACACATACCACTTTAACTCACCAGAGCACTAACATTTAAGCAAAAAATAAAGTGTTATTTAGAAATACGATTAGTGTAGCTTTTTTCCCATGAAGATAAACCTATGGAAGGCTTTCTATTGATCTCCGGACATTCTTGCTTACTGAGGAAGTATCAACAAATTATTACTCAGCTGCACAGGGCGAATATAATTATCCAAGACAGTTATAATCACCAATACTGAACTGAGGATTATTTTCATATATCATATACAGGTCTGGTTGTTTGATCAGCTAACGCATCTTTACCACTCCAATTGCCAACAACTGATCCTTGTAAGTTTCAATAATAGGCAAAGCTGCATCCAGATCCTAGAGAAAAAAGTAAATTTGTTAAACTGGAAGAAAATTAAAATTTCACAAGCACCTATTATGTGCCAGGCATTATACTCAAGTTACAAGAAAGTGACTTTTTATGAAGATTTCCACTTACACATTGCCTTCTGTTTGGGAGGCATTTCCTGGCATTTAGGAGGTCTGACCTGGATTTCCTGGAAAAGCTGAGGGTTTCTGGACTAGTAGAGAAAAGTGAGCCACCAGGTGGTCATCTTTGCACGCCAGCATTTGGGATTATCCTATCTTATGTTCTCTCCTTAGGGTACTCCTGATTTATAAGCGTCTAGTGTTTCTATACAGCAGTTCCACTGCTCTCTTCTCACTGATTTGTCTTTATAGTCTTGCTGGTCCTCTCTGTCCTAAAAGTTCAACAATATTAGCTTGTCTGTTAACTGCCAAAGTGGCTGTGTAACATGGGTTTCAATGATACTACCTTTTCCATTTAAGAGAATTTCCTCTGGGAGGGTTCCCTTCTAAGGTAGGGAAAACTGTTTCTAGGTAACTTTTAAACTACTTTGTGGATTTTAGTTTAGGACATGTAAATTGCAAAGTACTTCTGATGATAATCAGAATAAGAGAGAATTAAAAGGGAGATAAAGCAGATAATAGAGGGACAGGAGGAGAGTTGGGGGAGAGAGAGACCCTGAGAGAGCGAGAGACCTTAGAATATATTCTAGTGGACCTGATGAAGAATTAACACTGTCATGAGAAGCAATGGGTGTATATCCATAGGTATCAGAGAAGTTGTCTGACAACAAGGTGGGTTAGCGAAATCATGTCAGACAAGCTTTTTCCAAAGCAAATATCCAAATTAGTCCATATCTCTTAGATTTGGAGAAGTGGGTATAGTCTTTATCATTTATTTTAGTAAATGTAAAAATATTTATAAGGATACTTATATCTATTGTTTGTTTTTGAGACAAGAGTCTTGCTATTTAGTCTTGAACTCACTATGCAGCCTAGGCTGGCCTTGAACTCAGTGATCTTCCTGCCTCAGCCTCCTAGTGCTGGGATTATAGGCATGGGCTACCACATG